GTGCTATTGATGTGTAGCCCTACACAGCACTGTCTGCTCCATAGTGTGTGCTTACTCCGACATGACTTGCATGTTAAGCACCAACAGCTGACTGTTGTAGCCTCCTTGTAATGGAGCCAGTCACCACAGGCTGCCAGGCTGCAATTAGGCATGCAAACCTCCTGATCCAAGACGGGACAGAAGCTGCTTCAAACTTCAGGTTTTTTCCCAGCCAACCTGACAACTTCTTATTTGTTCTCTTTTCAAATTTGCACATCCTAAAATGAAGAAATGACAGCAATGTGGCCGTGTATAGATACTTGTGCTCTTACATAATTTGGCATTAAGGAACTCTGTGGTTTAGATGCTGAAAGAATGTTTACCAGCAGCAGGCTGTAAACTCCATAATCCTCTTGCTAGAGAACAGTCAGCACTGCCATTTTAGTTTTGGTCATTGTTACTAAAGCCTCACAGGCATATTTGCTTCAAAGTATGGACAGCTTAGCAGTAGATTAATACACTATTACTAATCTCGCCTCTGAGCTTACCATAAGTAGCTTTAAATGGGCTCTTCCATCTAACTTCTTTTCTTAGTTTGTCAAATTAATAGCATAAGTGGTCAGCACGGTTGGCAAGCTGTTCATGCGTGAATGGGCATTTGTCTATGTGTGGAAGTGTATGTCGCTAAAGAAAAGGTGTATAAATACTGTAACCCTCATGTATGGGGAGTAACCTGCAACATGAGCACTGAGGTTTGAGTGTGGAAGCTGCCATGTCTGGCTAAACAGTTGGATACAGTAGAATAGAAAGGCTATGCTAAAGAGAGATGGGGTAATTTTTATTTATGCAAACTCAGAGGTCGAAGCTGAGCTGCTATGCTGTGGGTGATGTAAAGTGAGATATTCACCACCTGTGCACAAACTGTTCTAACGCATTACAAATATTTAAAACAGCAATTTGGCCATCGGTGCTTAAAGAAATGTTGTATTTTTGTTGTTATTTTCCTGTTTGTGCAAGAGAAACAAAGAAATCGAACATATGAAAAAGTTACTCAAGTCTTTTGACTCGCTGTAAACTAAAATACAGCCGTTGCAATCGATACATAGAATCTGATGACTGACTGAAGTTAAGCCCCTAACTTCTCTGGTCTGCTCATTAGCTACAACATGCTTCTCTAAAAAGAGACACAATGCTGAATTTAGCTCCGAAATAAAAGTTGTTGCTAGAATGGAAGACATGTGTGCATGCTGCAGTGCATCTGATTGCAACTGTGAAAATTATACAGCATCTTTCTGCCATCTGTGTTTCTCTGAAGTTTAAATTTACATTCATTTATAGAATTTTTTTCTGGCCCAGCTTACCTTCAGTATACTTTTATCTCTGTGAAAACATGCGGTTGCAGTGACAGTAAATTCTGTTTATTAAAAAGCAAGGTGATGTGGTTATTGTGCATGTGCGTTAGGAGTCGAAGGAAGACTAAAGGGAGACTCTTCAGAGTAGACAGAGAGGTTTATGAGTCTTTAGAGGACTGGAAGTGAGGGACAGGCTTAGAGGATGGGTATTAGATTGGTGTCATGAGAGAGCATGTTAGGGCAAAGATAGCTTCATCCTTTATCTGAGCTCTCTCCTCACAAAACCAAGCACTTCTTTCTTTCCTTGCTTTTAATCTACAACACATCACTTTTGCTTTTATGCTGCATGCTGTATATTTAGCTGTGAGATGCGTGAGGCAGATTTCTTTGTTTTTTTACCTGCTATCTTATGCCACTAAATCATGCCTAAATATATAATTGTTCCCTTTTTCTATTGTGCTCATAAATGTAATGGAAGCTAATGTTGGATTATTTTAACATTAAAGTTTTTTATGAAGAATATCTTTTATGTTTTTACAGTCTTAGGGCATCTGGATGATATCATTAGATGCAAATTGCAAATGCAGTTAAAATTCCCAGGAGCATTTCATTTGAGCCCAAATTGCAGCAATCAGATACTTTTGAGTGTTCTGGGTGTGCTTTGCATTTGTCTCACCCCAGCATTGATTTAGCATTAAGTTACTTGTGTAATCTTTTGATCCTTGCAAAACGGTTTAATCTAGGAACCGCATCCAACCAAAATCCCTATCTGAAAACTCATTACACCTTTCAAAAACAAGATCTTTAAAAAAGCAGCTCTTCAAAATCACACCTTTTTATTTTTGTTTGTTTAAATAACATATTTCAATTCTTTCACAGTTAGTTTTGTATATTATAGATCACACCTGGAGTCATCCCCCTCACTTGAATTTCTTTGCCAGTAGATTCGTGACTGAAGCAGGGCTGCGCTGCTTTTTTATTACTCTGAGCAGAAGCTTAACATTACCCATCTGGCACCGGGGTAATCAAGTTTTGATTTCGATTCTGATTTGATTGATTCTCAGAGCTGGCTCTCATGGAATATTCAGCTTCTGCCTTATATTTTGATGCTGTTGAGATGAATATGAATAATCTTAGGTACGAACTGCTACAAAGAGAAATAATTCACTTTGTAGTTAGTTTGTCAGCAGCTTTATGTTTGTGTCTTTGACAACAATAGTGGGCCTGGGGAGATTCTTTACAATACTGCAAATGACAAGTGAGACAAATGATCAGCAAATCTTTGTTCTGTTGTGTGCAGCGCAAAGTGTTTGGTGTGTACTTACTGGTACCCACTTTTGAAAGTGCAATTTCCTCTCAGTCGATCTCATGTCACAACTCACATTTGTGCAGTGATTAAACCTGATGGCTTACCTTTACTGAATCTTTATTTTTAACTTCCATGGTTGGCTCTCATCAAAGAAACAGTCGCACTCGACACTTTCAGCCACCACTCCATCCTGGAGATACTGCACAAGTGCCCATGTAGACACACAGACTGAGAAAGTGGATCTGGGAATAGCTATCTTTCCCACACTGCCTGAACTCCTTTTTGTTGTCTTTAGTGTTGCAGATATGATCAGTTGGTTTTGGGCCAGTGTTTTTAGTCTTAGGAGGCATGGGTATAGCATGGTATCTGGGATCGTACTAGATGAGAGAAGGAAATGGATATGTTGTTGTCTTTGTATCTACCTCCAGCCTCTAAAAGCAAACATAGTGGTTTTTCATGCCTCTGCAGCCTGTGTGCTGGCTTGGAACAAAGGCTGGTTCATTCATGTGGCAGATGCAGTGTTTTACTGCAAATCAATATTTGTGTGACTTCTTGACCAAGGCATAAAGGGAATATTATTCACACTTTGAACACATGTATGAAATCAATACTTGTGACTGTCCTTGACCATGATGATTGCAGCATTTGTTTCCGGTTCAATTTAAGAACCAGTGTTTACATTTTGTTGACGAGTAGCATAGTTATGCCAGTACCTCTCTACCGATCTATCTCATCTACACCATTGCCTAAATGCATCAAGTTGCTGCCATGTGATTGGCTGATTTGCGAACAGGTGTACCTAATAATTTAGCTGTTCTTATTTGTGGCTTTGCACTGCTCATGTGGACCATGCATTTCACAGTGTCTTACAATGTGTGTAAATATGATGAAAGGGACATTTTGGACCCTTAACAGCATTCCTGATATGTTTTAGTCAAGCATAAAAAAAGAAGAAGAAGAAAATACTGTTGGCCAAAACACTGAGAACCATATTGGTTTCAAAATGCTTCTAAACACAAAAGCACATTGTGTGTCTGGATGCGGTGTTCACTCTCCTCACTCCAGAATTATGGCTGAGGTAAAGCTTCACACCATAATGATGATGCCTTTACACATAAAATGTGTATAGGAGAGAAAGAGCAGCAAAGGTCTTTGATGTGACATTATCTTCTTAGTCATGCAGGTTTTTCTGCAATGGCGAAACTGTAGCATTACGAAACAATGCCACATTGTGCTGTGATGATAGTTGGCTACCTGTCTATGAATGGCAAGTCCTTGCAAACCATTCCCATGAATCTCCTGGTGAGAATTGAGCTGAGACTGACTCACTCATTTGTGTGAAGTGGCGACATGCTGGAGGCTCCGCGGGACTTCTCTGTCAAGCTCCGATCACGATTCTGTGGTATTTCTACTTCACAGGCTTTGCTTTAGTCCTGTGCCACATATCATTGAAGATAGGAGTCATATATTAAACCATGTCACTCTAAAAAGTCATGAGATCCCTTGTAGTACAGTGGAGCACTGGCGAGTTACGATTAGCTGATCAAGCCTTTGAAAATCAATTCAAATTTGTTAGGGTGCACGCAAGCGTTTCTCTCTGCTCTTTTTAAATCTCATCTCTGTCACTGTAGCTTTAGCTGATGCTGAGAGAAGATGTGCATTAGAGCCTTTATGGTATTATGTATTCTTAAGCGTCTGTAAACAGAAGTCGGGATGCAAGAATGCTTCGGAGTGGCTTAGTTAGGTCGTTTTTATAAGGTGAGCAAACAAATGTTAAGTCCGCGTCTCGCCTAATTTAGTTAGGATTTGTCCTTCTTTAAGAGTTCAGTTTGTCTTTCACTCTGCTACTTTTTCTTTTATGCTGCCTTCAGGTGCCAGCTTTGTGCTTTGAGTGTCAAGTGTCAGAGAGGAAATCAGATACACAATTCACTAACAACAAAAATGGAAGTGTTGGTAGCAAAAGGTACAGTTTTGCTTCCTAGGGGTAAATCGCAAACTATAAATAAGGGAAAGCAAATTCCAGAACCAACGTGTCCTTGCTCAGCAGTGCAGGTTTCAGTTCACAACATGATGCAAAATAAATACATACGCCACCAAAGACGCATATTATTTCTTCTGTGAGTTCCTTTGCTTTGTGGGTGCAACTTTAAACTCAAACACATTTGCACATTGAGATGTTGCACTCTAGTGAGCATAGAAATTACATACAAGTGTTTGCCTGAACATGGTTGTTCCTTTGAGCAGGCATGGCCATTTCACTTTGAGTCTTGCCTTATTGTGTCTCAGCCCCGTGTCACCGTTCCTTTCGATTGAACCAGAGACTAATTTATATTTTGTCCTGTCTTTTTTTCTTCGCCCAGCTGCCATTCAGGTGGAAATTACTCCACCACAAGGGGAGATCAGCGTAGGAGATTCCAAATTTTTCATCTGCGAAGGTAAGAGTGATCTTCCTACATCCCTCATTTAACACGGCTTGATGCAAATGTCACCTCATCTAGCAATATTGGCAGTATTTATTGAGGTAATTTGATGAAAGTAATACAAGTTAGGTTAAATAATGAGATTGGTGTACTGGTGGAGGAAAAAAGAGAAAAAGATCACAAGGATAAATTGACGGGCTTATTCTGTGGAGGTGGTGGGATGATGAGATCTGAGTCATGTAAGAAATAAGACATAGAAGAGGTGGGAGAGAGGTGCTGTATGAGAAGATAATGAGACAGAGGTCTTACATTCTCTCTGTGCATTTGTCAGCCTGTCTGTGATACAGATGCTGCTTACAAAAGACAGATCTGCAGTCTGCCATTATAGAACATCTTCTTACATTTAAATAATGTCCTAATTTTCTGAGTAGAGATTATTCATTCATTTGGTCTTATTAACCCAGGTTACTTCTACACTACAAAACAAAGCTGATGGGGACTGAATTAACAGCATGCCCATAGCCCTTACGAGGGGTCGTCCAGTATGAAAAGTTTCAAAGCATCTCTCGTTATCCCGTTGATGTGAGTTACAATCATGCTGGATAATGAATGCATTGCATTTTCTTGAATTTGAAATAGAAACTTCAAAACACTCCACAGCTACCTTCATAGGACTTATGAGTAAATAGTTTATTGAACCACCTGTAGCCGGACTAACTTGAAATAATCATTTCCTACTTGTCTTTGTCTCTCGACAGTTGTTCTGAGGTGTTTGTGCTGATAAGCTGTATTTGCTTTTTGCAAACTGCGGTGCATTATGTCAAAGCATCTCCACTTCTCAGTTCTCCAAAGAACACTTCCAAACATCCCATACTTGTACTGTCATGAACTTTAATATTTCTTATGTTGGCTGAGACCTGCTGAATCCGAGATGCAGTTTCTCTGAGCATTGCACGGTTTGATCTTGGGGTGAATTTGCTGAGATGTCTGCTCCTGGGAATATCATGGCAATGTGTTAATTTACAGCTGAATGCTCCAGAGCAGCAAAGTGACAAAACTTCTCCTTTTACAGAGGTGCTCACACTTGCACATATCCAAGTCAACAAGTCTATTTGATTTTCAGCACCTGGCAGCTACATACCCTCTTAATTCCTATGGAAGGAGTAGTGGTGGACTGTTTTTCACGGGAATTACAAAGTCCAGTCAAAATTTTCTTTTGCATACTACATGCAATCAAGGTTTTTTTTTTTTTTCTTTTTGAAAAAAATAACCACTTCTCTCCCACTAATGACCTGTTGTTTCACTGCTTTTAGCAGAATGTTTCTGTAAAAATGAAGCCCTAAAAGCAAAGATGGGTGTCTGTGTGTGGAATATGAAGCCTTGACATTAAGTACTAAGTGATTTCATTCTTTGTTCTATGAAGAAATTTTTGCATTCGTTTGAACTCGAATTCCTCCGTTTGAAAAGGGTGTCAAAATACATTTAGAGCTGTTTGTGCTCCTTGAGAGAAGAGATAGTATTAATAATTTTCAGGGAAACAAAAAAACTGCCTCTGCTTGTACTACTGTTTATAAAAAGATGAATAATGTTGAAACGTTGTTTGATTTTTCTTTTAGTCAAAGTTTCCTCCTACTGAATAATCCTACTGAGGAAACAGAAATAATTCATATCTCCCTTTTTATGTTTTGCTGCGTCTGTTTAGTCTTTGGGTTTACATAACATACACTGGATGAAAACAGATTGTGATTTCACAGTAATGCTTCCAAACCATCTTCAAACCAAGAATTCTTAATTTCGTTTTGATATATTCTGTTCAAATTACGATTCATTTTTAACAATTTTAATTCACATTCTCTAATGAGAACAAAGTCTAGCTCAAACCTTAATCAGCTCCACATATGCATTCATCAGGGAAATAAGGAACTACAACTACTTTATTCCAACATGAACAGATGTGAAGAATATGAATGCCAGCGATGACAGTTCTTCCCCAGGTCATCACACAGTGCAGTGATCGTTGCAGTAAATTAAGTTTGAATTTTAAATTAAGATACACACACTAGCTTTGTAATGTGATGTAACAGGCCCATGGCATCCTCTACAAGTTCATGCTCAGAGTCATATCTTTTCTTGCAAAGCGGGAGGCATATCTAAGCTAATGCAAAACATCAAGATAACAGATTTCAGTTGTAATCCTATAGGTTCTGACTATTATTTACAGGCCACTTGTGAAATTCTTAAAAAAAAAAAAAAAGTTTTGCTTTTCTATCTCATTCTTTACTTTGTTATTTTCAGTGGTAGGAGATGCTAAAGACATAGACTGGTACGCCCCCAGCGGTGAGAAGATCCTTCCCAACAGGGCAGACATTTTTGTGAGCCGCAGTGATGAAGCCACGTCGACTCTCACCATATACCACGCCACCGTGGACAGTGCTGGCATCTACAAGTGTGTGGCAAAGGATGGAGACAAGGAAGCCCAGGCCACTGTCCAAGTAAAGATCTTCCGTAAGTATGACCTGGTTTTGCAGTCTTTACAGACTTTACCAGTGAAGAGTGTTATTTTTTCACATGTTGGTAGTCAACATTACTGCATAAACTGTAGTAACTCAGCCACTATGAACGCTCTCTTTGAGTAATGCATTTCAAATAGAGAGAGCCAGTGTTTATGTTATTAAAGGTAACCTGATTTCCAGCTCCATACTGTTATTCTCAGTCTAGCTTGGCAAGCTGGACTTTGATGAGTTTATCCACTGTATGAAACCAGCCGTTTAAGCACCGTCCCTTTAAGCCAGCTTTCTTCCGACTGGCTGCCCCTCTCATAAACAGAAGATTTAAACAGCAGGTGTGAGGGGTTGCTGTTCTCCCAGCCAGGGCTGTGTGAAATGACCATAATAAGAACTGAACTATAACATACTGGAAACTGAGCATTTAGCTCACTCTGAAGTTTTTGGCTCATGGGGATTATTTCAAATATACTGACCTAATTATTGGAAACTTTGGTATGTGTAATATAAACACCAAAGTGAACCACTGAAATTGAAAATGTGTAAGTTTTCACCTTTACAAATGTCACTCTCTGTGTTAATACATATAAAAATGTGTAATATGTCCATTCCCCCACAGAAAAGATCACGTTCAAGAGTACTCCCAACCCGCAGGAGTTCATCGAGGGTGAGGATGCTGACATAGTCTGTGATGTTGTCAGTTCACCACCACCCACTATTATTTGGAAGCACAAGGGCTCCAAGATCCAACCTGCCAAAGATGGTGAGTCTGTTCAAAAAAAAAGAAAAAGAGGAGAAAAAACACCCCACTGCTTAGCTGCTTTCTCACATCCAACCTGCCTTTCCATTCCATCTTCTTAACTCTGTGAGCAGCCACCTTACCTCCCTGCCAATGCTGTTTGCCAGTTCATGCTTTCCAATCAATTTGCCACACTATTCCTCATCTCCCTCTCCTGCTGCCCATCATCTATGAACAAAGCCAACCGTTTTCCATTGGAAAGTAGTTTTAGACCTCATAGATGATGCGTGAACATGAAAATTGTATTTTTAGGCCTAGCAAGAGGTGGTTATTGTCACTAGAAAATGTGTCTGAGGGCACACCTGAGTTTAATTTTGCCAAATAAAGGAAAACTATAGTTAGAAAAAAAAATCTGAAAAACTCAGCATGTTTTTTTTAAGGAAGGAAAGTGTAATCTAAGAAAGCTTCTGCTGTCACTAACAACAATAACAGCAAAAAAACTGTAATAAAACCTACCCAGATTTGCTAGTTTAGAATCAGATTTTTTTTGTTACTTTGCAAAACGTAATCATAGCATCTGTTTTGGCAATGATGAAGTAAAGTTCAGCCACAAAAGCAAAAGTTGCTTAAGTCTGACCATCATTGGTGCTCTGTGCATAAACAGTTTGCAAACCACCTCCATCTCATGTTCTGACTTCAGGTCATACCTGACACATTTGATACCTTCTCAAGCAGAGCTTCCCAAAGTGTGGGGCCCGACCCATAGGGGGGGCACAGAGCCATTGCAGGGGGGGTGCGGTATGAAAAGGGAAAAAAAAAAAATGCGTGGACACTGCTAGCATGGGGCGCCCACACAAACGCAAAGCAGAAGGTGAAGCATAGCTGAATAGGTTTCCAAACCAACCTCATTCTAAGCCAAAGACTAGAAAATATGGTGAAGCAAATCTTCCCTTTGGTTTCACCTGCACAAGGTAGGTCTCCCAAGGTAGGTCTCCCAAGGTAGGTCTCCCCTGCAGAATTGGTTTTCCCTTCGTCGGGAGCAGCGCTGGGCTGTTTAAATCACGGACAAACAGTATCCCACAGTTGTTTATGTTTTTAAACCCATTTTGCACAGAGAGGCATTTTTTTGAAAAATGTATTGATAGCAATGTTGAACAGAGGAAAAAAACAACTACATGTAAAATAATTGCACCGTGACGCCTCTGCCTTTGTAAATGGAGGGACAGTAACTGCATGTGTATATGTAAGCGTGTAAAACCAGAAGATAGTCAGATTAACAGTAACAATATTTTGTCTCTATCTGCCATTCTGCAATTCATCTCATGTAAACAATAACGTGCGCACAGCATGATGTGAAAAAAGGCACATACCTTTGACGTTGCGTGACGAATACTGTATTCCTCGTCCACAGGTAAACGCAAAAAGGAGTTTTTAAAAAAACATCTCCGTTTTCAGTGATTCGAAACGCCGTTTACGTGTGGACGAAAGGTCCAAACGCATAGAAACAGCTGCGTTTTTAAAAAAACCCGTGTAGGTGTGGACGTACCATAAAAGAGTTGTTTATTACTACCTGTAATTTATTGCAGTTTACTTGTATTTGCTTAATTGTTTACTAAATGTTTGAGATATGAAATACATTTTTCTTGTAAAACAAAGGGGGGCCTAGCAAAAAAAGTTTGGGAACCACTGTCTTTCAGGGTGGTGAGATCTTACTATTGCTCCTCATGTCTCACTCTGATTTTGTATGGATTGCAGACTTAAGGACCCACACCTAGGACACGCGAGAAAGAGATCTCAAACAAAAAGCGAGCTTTAATCGCTTATGATTTCATATAGACAACAACAACAGATAATGAAAGACGATTTAAAAGAAAAATGATGGAATCCAAAAAAGCCAGAGAATGAATCCAAAGAAGAAAACAGACAGCACGAGAGGAGAAAAAGAAGCATAAAAAACCAGGCAATGCAACAAAGAGAAGGAAAGGGCTCTTTATACACTGCACAGCGATTGCGGATCACACACACGGCAAAGGAAGGAAATGTAGATGAAAGTAATGCAGAAAAATCAAACAAACAGAGGCTCAAAACCGAATTGAAACACCAGAGAAAATTAACTGTTACAGTAAAGCAGGAAACAACCCTAATCACACAGAAAAGACAACTAATAGTAAACACATTACAGAGGAACAGTGGGGAGGCAAGAACAATAATAATAATCATAAACCCACAACAATAGAAAAACTGGAAGCAGGAAATCCTGAAACGCATAAAAAAAGACACCCCCCCCAGCTATCAGGATCCTCTTATCTTTATAAATACACACATGCATTTTAACAACATTTTAACCTCTAACTCTTTCTTAATAAAGGAATTTTGTGTTTCGGGAGTTAGAGGTGTTTGATGTACACAATTGGGTCTCGTTCTCACTGCGCACGGGTGATCAGAGATGTAGCTTTGATGTAATTGAACATCTATTTTATCCATATGTCACATTAGTATATCAAAAAACACTCTATAAAAACTTTTCAAACTCTTCTTGTATTATAATCCCTTTATCTGTTGTTTGTCCTGTGTATTGAACCATTTCTGCTTTGCCAGTAAGCACACAGAACAAAGGTGTTTAGCTCGGCTGTGGAGGAAACTGTGAGCGTGCACATACCGAACATATAAAACTGTAAGTGTTGCTGAACACTTTGCCAAAAAAATCTAATCTAATGTAGCTGCTGTGAATCCAAGCTGTCTTCTGTGTAAAATGAAATTATGAGCTTTTCAGCATTTGGTCCCTTCTGCCCAAAAATATGAGGAGGGCCTAAATTCATGTACAATATTTGGTAATCATTTAATCTGGCAATAGCTTCTTTCTTGGGAGGAGCATTGACCAAATTGGTCCAAAACAGCCATGGCTTAGCAAGTTCAGTGAAAAACTAGGATCTAGTGTGGGAGCTGGACATAAAACAGGAGTCTGGGTTTTGTTTCACACTTGAACCGGGGACTATTTTAACCTTGAAGTAACCCCTCCCTCGGTGACCGCTGGAGAGCCTGGAGTCACCACACTGTTGTGCTAAGCCTGCCTTTGTTCTTGGATTCTTGTCAAGGAATGTGTTTTTCACTGGAAAAGCCACTAATTGTAACCGACACCGAAAACTAAAAACTGCTTATGCAATTTTCTTCAGTGCAGTCGCTGACCTAACCCTGTGCTGCAAGCTGCAGAGTTAAAAATCCCAACAGCAACTCTTCCTTGTAAAATGTGTCACGGTGACCTGAATAAGAGCTGTTTAACAAAAGCGTTGTTTCTTCTTAACTTTTAGACTCCTGGATTAAACTTTAAAAGCTTTTCAACATTTCAGTCATTTATTTTTTATACACTATGTAAATGTTTCACTCCCATGGATGGTGCGATGTGGTAGGAGTCACTGAGGTGGAATTGTTTGTTCAGTAAACTTTGTAACTCTTAAACTTGATAGGAAGAACACGTCACTTGATTGAGGCAACAGTCATTATTAAAATTAATGAGTCCCCTGTGTAAATTGTGGATTTTAATAAGTGCTGGATAGTTTTTCTCAATAATGTGTGAAAAATAACACCAGGTTTCTGTTAAGACAGCTCGCTGTGTTACTGTGCATTGTTTAATTAGAGCTGCAACTGTTTGTCAGGGATCTGGGTTTGATTAAAACATTGATAAAATATGTTTACTGTAGCCAGAGAGTCATGAAGCTCTCTCATCTAATAATTTGATTACCAGGAAGGATTTTCTCAATCTTGCCCCAACTTCCTGTCTCAGGGTTTCATTTAAGCATACAGTTCACACTGCTCTCATTTTATGATCATCTCTTAATTCATAGAGGACTTATTAAATCACGTTTCTTTTGTTCCACTCTTTTGTTGAGAATGTAATCTTCACAATCTCGAACCTTTGTTCTATTTTGTCCTTTTTTTGTAGTTCGATTTAAGATCATGGATAATGGCCACCTGCAGATCCGCAGCATTAAAAAGACAGATGAGGGCACCTACACTTGTGAGGCTCGTGTCATGGCCAGGGGAGAAATTGACTTCAAGACTATGAAGGTCATTGTTAACGGTAAGCAGTGTATACACCACCTTCTATGCTCTGCCTGCGCTGCTGTTTATCAATGTGTGGCTTAACAGAGCAGGGTTCAGTAATGAGCCAGATGGCTCTAAAACCCTTAAAACCTTTTTGTTGCTCCAATGATAGTTAGATAGTTAGTCAGATCATCTAGCCATCTTTTTCAAGTTTCTGGTTTAGAGAAACACATTCAAACAACTACAGACCAGAATGACAAGAAATTGGTTTTAAATTTGTGGATTTCTCAGAAAATGTTGCAGATGCTCTGACCTTTAGTAGCAACATTATCCCCAAATTGCTTTTAAATATCAAAGTCCTTTAACTATCAGGATGAAGAATTTTGAAAAATCTATTTAAAAAAATGATTTTGGGCAATTTTCTTGAGGAAATATCACTTCTTAAAAGCTACTCTGTAGATTTTCAGGGATAATTGCATTTTTATTTTCGAACCCTTTGACTAAATTAAGAAATAGACGTGTAACTATGGGAAATATCGTTATATGTGTGTGAAATATGTTCATTTCAGCTATGTTGAAACATCCAGTCTGTTTTATCACGACTCAATGGAGGAAACTTGAAGTGCATTTTGGATAAACTTTACTACAATTACATATCACCATGTGGGTTCGGTAGTTGTTTAAAACAAGTCAAACCAAAAAGTTTTGTTTTTTTTTGTGAACGTTTTTTCAGTGTTTGGTTAATTTTATATGGAATGTGCAAAAAGAAGTAATAAAATCATTTATAGGTTTTGAATCTACATATCTAGATTAAACCTCTTTAAATATAATTTAGAAATACACATTAGTTACTTGAAATTCAAATTAATCTTGTATCTTTTTCAGTGCTTCCCACCATCCGTGTCAGGCACCCAGAAGTCAACGCTACAGCAGACGTTGGTAAATCAGCTTTACTGGCTTGTGATGCAGATGGCTTCCCGGAACCCACCGTGACTTGGGCACAGTACGTCATTCAATCTTGTTATCTGGCTGTTGTGACGAGCAGAGTTCAGATTTACCCCGGATCACGTCAGGAGAAATTTTGAGCTTCCACAAAAAATGAAGCATTTTATTTATTCTTTTTTTCGTCTTTAGATCCTCTTGTTCTTGACCTCGAAACAAGCAATATTAGTTAGAGCAATGAAATGAATAATTATGAATTACAAACTGTTATTCTTGGTGCACAGTAATCCCTCTCAGGTCCAAAACTTCAACGACAAACCAAAAAGAAACACTGACGTCAATACAAATGACCCCCCCCCTCTAAGTGGCAATCTGCCAAGCAGGTAAAAGCAGCCTGATAAGATTAAGCTGAGATGAATGATATTTGCAGCAGAGCAATGGAAGACAAACTATGCACTATACAGTGTACTAGAACTTAAAGCACATAGAGGGCTTTTATTAATTCCAGCTTTTCAATAGAAACTCATTATAAGTCACACTCATTAGTATTCATTAGCGAGCGGGAGATTTATATACTGTTACCTTTTGCTTTTTCACTTCAGCAGTCCATTTTATGACACAATGATATGGAGAGATATTCTGATGGCTTTTTACCTCAATGATCAAAATCCTTGTAATAACTTCCACAGTAAAAGGGTAAATGAGTCCTGTGTTTTTGCCTCTTACTAGATAAAGGGTTGATAGGACGGAGCTACATCTGCATAAAATTTGTCTTCCTGAAACTTCATTCCATGGCAATTAGGAATTTGTTATGCTACGCTAATGGCTGCAATTTATATTTACAGGTCAGTTCAATTAGTTACAAACATTCCTAATCAAAAAGGACCTCGGGGTTTTTTTTATCTTTTGTGCAGCAAGGAGCATCAATTTAACGGGGACATTTTTATAAGTTCGAGGCTACCCTTTAGCAGGATGTGCGCTACCCGAGGCAGCTGTCGGGGTATCTCTGTTGTTTTTTCTCCAGCTCTCCAGCTGCTGGACACAGTAATAATAAGGAAATAATACATCTCTGCATACAGTAGCGTGACCAGACCAGATTTGTAACTTTGCTGTTCATAGCTTACCAGTCAGTCCCCTTTATTCTTCTGTCCCTGACTCCTTTCATGCAGGCTTGCTTTTGATAAAGTTAATTTTTACATGACACTTGTTAATATATATTTATAGGGATTATGAATAGGTCAACAAGCAGAATAAACCAAAGTGAGAACAAAGTGGATATGCATCTTAGCAACCGCTAATTGGTAGTAGTTCAAAAATTGGTACCTGAAATGTGTTTAATTAAGTAAGTTCTGTTGATTAAAGAGGAGGTTTACTGAGTTAGTAATGATTTTAAACATTAACTTACCAATACACCAAGCATTTGCGTGCTGGAATAGGATATTTTTGTTTGACGACCACCGACTTGTGCAAATGTATGCTTTCGGGAGACGAAATCAAGGACGTCAGCCCGAACGTGTTTTTTTTCTTCATGCAGCTGTTTGCTCAGTGCACGTTAATATTCTTGGTGCATCATTCATGTCTGAATGCAGCAGTGAGGAGAAACCTTTAGACAAAGCATGATTGCTGCTGCATGAATAAATAAGACGACTGAACTCAAATCCCGCTCACAGCTGTCTTTCATGCAGCAGATCTAATGTGTGATCCTGAGGAAGAAGCAGGCCCTGGCTAGAAGAGGGTTAAGATGGACAGGAAGGTTGTTGGGAGGATAGATGTGTGAGGCGGTGGAAAAAAACATAGGGGTAAAGCTCTATTTGTTCTAGTCGCTGACAGGCCTGTCATTCACTGTCTGGCTGCTGGAGCAATGCTGCTACTCCAGGTCTACGAACACTTAATTCACTACAAAAGAAAAAAGAAAAAGAGAGAGATTCTAACCTCAAGTAAAAGTTTGGCTCCTGAGAGTAGGAGTGTTTTCTGAAATCTAAAAGAAGCATCGTCATCATACAATCGGTGTATGACCTTCTTAAAAACAAGGCTGAAGGAGACCAAAGGCAAACAGAATCTGAGGCAATGTTGGAGGTGTTCTTAGAAGCACTGAGCACAGGACAGCGTTTTTTGGTCTGCGAGGCTTTGTTGTCTGCGAGCTGCTTGCTTCAGTAGATAAAACCCCAACTGTTCTTTGTCAGTGAGTTTAGAAAATTATTCGTAGGCTCCTCAAGTTGTGCAAGTAAATACATGTGACGCGGACACTTCTCTTTTCCTCTTTTTTCCCCTTGCTACAGTAACGGCGTTGTCCTTGAAGACGGCGATAAGTACAGCCTCAATGAGGATGGTTCAGAATTGTTAATAAAACATGTCACCAAAGTGGATGAAGGAGATTACACGTGTATCGCCAAGAACAAGGCGGGAGAGAAAACGGAGGAAGTCAGCCTAAGCGTGTTTGGTAAGAAAATGACTCCATTTGCTGATGGTTTGCTTAGCATAAAGAACACGGCGGCTGGTTTTTTTGTATCATCTCTGACATTTCTTTGTTGTACTTTGTGCACTTTGCTGCACACTCTTACGCAGCGTATCCTTACGCAGCTGTGAAACATAAAGTGCAGTATCTCTTTATGAGGAAATTATGTAGTCCTGTGGCTCTGTTATAACTCAGTGGGGTATGAAACCACTCTGTATTCCTTGCCACAGTAATACTGAAACGTCTCTATCAGCCATGGATCAAATGGCCATGTCAAATGTGTCATTCACAGTGACGTGATCATTTGATCGCATATATTCATCTGTCAGCAGCTGATGAGTTTATGTGGTGATTTGAACCTAAGAATTTTTCCGCCTCTACTATCAAACCCAGTTAATAGAAAAAAGGCAGGTGGATTAGTGGTAATAGCTGTTGATAAATGTCAAGCATCTATTAGCTGTTTAAAAAAGAATAAAGAAACAGATTAAATATTTGAAATTACCCCACTGCCTCTCGTTGGAGAAGGAGCATTAAACCAAAGGTACCCACATTTATGTGTCTAGAAAACCAATTCTAATAACAGTTTCTGTCTTGCTTCTAGTCCAACCCAGCATTACCTACTTAAGTAACCAAACTGCTTCGGAGTTTGATGATCAAGTCACCCTGACATGTCAGGCTTCCGGTGACCCAACACCTACAATTTCCTGGAGTTTTGGAAACAAGGTCTTCACTGAAGGAGAACAGGTAGAGTTGCTGTGTGGTCATGCACCAGAAACTCTTTTTTCCCAGTTAATAGAAGTGTTATAAAAAGCCAGTGTTTTTAGGAAAAGGGGTGCTAATGACAGAGAGGTACCAAAAAATAAAACTACAGTTGTTTGAGAAATTTGCCTAAAACATTTCTGCTCTTAAGGAACAACATGGCAAACAACAAATTTAAAAAAAAAAAGAAGTCATTCAGTAAAGATAAAGTGGATGAAAGCTAGAACAGAGCCTCCACATAATTTCCAGATAATTTGTACCACTTACATATTATGACCTGCACTGTAATATACAATACAGCACATGCTCTCCAGATTTGTTGGCAGCTGTTATTAAATACAATTTTCAGAAAAAGGCTTCAATTTCAATTTTCAAAAACTCACATGGACATTTTTAAGGAATTTTGTCAGCCATTCACTGACTTTCATTTTTTAAAATTCAGCCTTGAAATCCCACCAATTATTTTCACTTCCGTCACTTTTCATCTCATGGCATTAATAACTAATCAGTTGGCTATTCAACTCCACCCACGTGCTGGGAATGCAGCTAAAAGTGCTTCGTACATTTCTCATTGTTACATGAGTTTGAACTTTGCACAATGAGGTTTTGATGTTGCCTTCACGATCTCTCTGAACTTTTGACAGCCTTGTCTTATACAGCCCGAGTTGCTTTAATGCTTTTGTACATTTACATTGTGACTGATAGAGGAGAGAGAGTGCACACTTCCTATGTCTCCCCACATGTTTTTAACAGCGCATCTTACACGCTACAACATCTTTTATTCATTGGCTTTTAATGGAAATTTCTTTCCTTTTTTTGTGAATTTTCTATAAAAAGTGCTCTTTTAAAATTCACAGGAAATCAAACAAGAGTTTAAAAAACAAAGTGAAAATGATTTAATTGGCATTAGCTTAATTATTGCTATGAATCAGATTGTTATGATTCCAGTTATGCCTCTCTGGCAAACTACTGTGATAATCCACTTTAGGAACGAGTGGGCACTTTTTTCCCAGGATGAACACGATATGAGTAAAGCAGCCACATAAGGGTTATGCATCTTTGTCATGCTTTGGCGTATATCCTAGTTTTTCCTCTTCATGTCCTTCAGGAGCACTGGAGATAACGCTGGATTAAAGCTTTGCTTATAGGATATGGTAAACGGCTTCTTAGGATGTGTAAGCTATGAACACCATTCCTTTCCTTATTTTCTCCATTGCAGTGGTCACAGCATTCTGGCAGTTGCCAGCCTAGTGAGAGAGTCTCATCCGAAGTCTATTGTTATGCTCTTATCAGCTCATTAAAATTGTATAATTTTGAAAAATCCATCTTAACGGTCTATTCTGACAATGCACATGGTGCTAGCAGCAAACAGATTAGTCACTTCAGAGGGGTAATTTTCTGTGAATGCAGTAAACAGTATTAAGATAATTACCTCGCTGCCTCCACCAGGTTTTTGGATTCGGGAAAAACATTTCATGCACTGGTTTGTGATTCAGCTTGCGTTACATACTGCCACATGTTTATATTACTTCTAAAAGCACTAAAGTTGGACACTGCATATTTCCCTGATACACAGAACAGCTGGGTTGCAGACTGGTTGCTGGCCTCGGGACATTTGCTGTGGAATAACAGGAAAAAAGCACAATTTGGCATAAAACTTGTATATCACACATTTTCTTGTTCCTGCCAACAATATGCTGGCATTTAATTAGGCATAAGATAAGCTGTACCCTGTCACTACAAGCAGCATTTAGCATGAAAACCCTGAGTCCATTTTTTGTTTGACTGTTAGGTATTGTAACTCCTGTGAAATATGTTCCCACACGAAAATAGTTCAACAATGTTTGTTGTCCTGCCATAGCAGACACAGTTGTTCTTCAAATGTTTCAAATGACACAGGTGTGTAAGAACAATAGAGGAACTACTCTTGGAGCTACACACTGTAAATGCAATGAAAGCACCTGTCCTGTTATTTCCCACAGGGCATAAGAGAGTCAGCTGCACAGTATTTTGGGCCATGCTGGCCTACTTCATTTAACATGCTCTGTCAGCTGGTGCATTGTGATGAATTATGTCTGAAAGTTACCATGTAGCTCATTTTCACATTAAATATATCTCTGTGAAATGAACTATTGATTTTCGGTGGAATAATATAAAACTAAAAAGACCATGGTAATGACTGTCTGACAAACTCTCTTCTAGTCATATTGTAAACATTCTCTATACTAATAATTGTAAATATCGTTGATACAGTTGTTTAAGCATTCAGACGGCTAATTGGAGAAAATATAACATTATTGTGAGACTGTGCACCAAATGTGGCAGTTATATTTACAGCAGCAGGATGATTTAAATCAATTCAGTTTTATTTATAATGCACCAAATCCCGACAGTCACTTCAAGGTGCTTTTTATCATTATTTATCTATTACCCCACAGTAATAGAGTGAAAGCTCCAGCATTCAGATGACCCCATATGAGCGAGCACTTAGTGGCAGTGGGAAGGAAAAACTCATTTTTAGCAGGAAGAAAACTCCACAACCAGGCTCAGGGAGGGGGCAGCCATCTGCTACGACTGGGGAGAGACATGGGACAAAAGACACACTGTGCAAGAGAGCCAGAGATTAATAATAACTAATGATTAGATGCAAACAAGAAACACTTGAGTCCTAATAGTTAAGCTTTATCAAAAACGGAAAGTTTTAAGCTTTACTTTTTTAATTTAATTTAGAAGTTTACACAGTGTGTGTCCAAAATTTAAGCTAGGAGCTGGTTCGACAGACGAGGGGCCTGAAGCTGAAGCTCCCACTCTACTTTTATATCCTATGAAGTAAGCCTTCAGTCCAAGAGCAAAGTGTTATAATGGGGGGGAATATGGAACTATGAGGTCTTTAAGAATGGAAAAAACTGTAGGATATATTGTTGTTTCTGAACAACATTGTACTAAAGAAGAATGTGTTATTTATTCAGTTCTTGTAATGCAGACATCTCGAAAAGTTGTTCTTAAACTGAGATGGATTTTATTTTAGGCTTAATGGCAAACTTGTGCAAATTATCCGTTCACCACTCCGGTTGTGCTGGAAAATGATCAGTCTGTACATTTGAGTCAGTTAAAATATTCTCATATTTTCCTATTAACTGTGCAATTTATCACTGCCAATCAGCTGCGGCAGCCGTGACTGTATTGCGACTTTCTGAATGTAATCTTCCACCTGCAAGACAGGACTTGCATGTCGTATTCACAGTTGCCACTGAATGTCTTCTATTCACAGGCTGTCATCATCCCTCTCCTCCCTATCTATCACTGTCAGATACATTTTGATTTAATGTTGCTGTAGTCAGAAAATCCCGCTGATCATTTGGTAATAGCTGTCACTAATTTTCATTGGATCTTCATTCATCATTACTTTCCTGTTTGCCACGCTCTGTCTTCCATTTACATTCTAGTTCTACATTCATACCAGCCAGGGTACGAGAGCACAGACATATTCATAATGATGTGCAATGACAGAACAGGAATTTTTCTGGCTTCGGCTTCTTCTTTTGAATATTACTGGCTTGAGAAAAACACAGCTAATGGCGTCATTGTGTAATGTATGATTAAGACATCATCTCAGTTCAGCTGAAGGTCTTTGTGGTTGGAATGTTTGTACCACATGATAGGAATCTGTACGTAGTTTATATTAATAGAGGATAAGTGGTGGAAGTCAATGTTCTGTACTTACATGAATGAGTTAATCAAGATACATAAGCCATGATGAGAAAATGTGCTGATTAGGAAACAAAGTCCCTAGGTGCCGGTAGTGGTTCTTGTATAATTAGTTGCAGTGCCTTGTTTTCCTTAGTGTGCCTCCAAATTCTCTCTTATTAGAGTACATTAATTAATAACTGGCCCCATGCAGCTCTAGGAAAATGTGCTCGAGTTTGGCATTTTGACCATTTCTGTTACTTCCTTGATTGCCAAGTTGGAAAGCCTGGCCCTCATCATAACAGTCATTTTCACATCAAGAAAACCTTGAACTAGACAATGCCAAATGTTCAGCTAGCCTTTAATACATCAACAGAGGGATATAATCTATTTATGACATCATTGGTCTTAATTGTTTAATTATAATAAATAAAGCTTTGAATGAAATTATTCAGCTGAATCCAATCTGTAGTTTTCATAAACAACATCAGAACAGTGCCAAGTCCCGCTTCTACAAATCTTGTAAAAAAATCACCGCTGTTTGCCTGAAAGGCAAATCGGTAACTACCCTTGATATTTGCATTTGGTATTCTATCTTTTTTTAAATTCTAGTTACATTACTGCAAGATGGCATCACCGATTTAATACAAATGCAGAAATCTTAGATGGTTTATAAAAGAGCGCCTATGGTCTTTACCACTCTGATGTCAGCCACTGGTTTATTAAGTCCAATTTTGAGTATTTGGCTGTTCCCATTTGGCATTTTTGGAATCACATATGATTAAGCAAGAAGTAATCTGAGAAAATGAGGATACACGTTCATGCGTTTTTAACTTTTCTCCCACAAGTAGCTACACCTTTAATCCCTCATTCCTCTGTTACCTATTTTACTCAAAATGTGAATATTTTATGAGCATTTCTTATTAAGGACAGTGCTTACTGAAGTCATTATGTGCAATCTGCTTACCTCTTCATGCCTAAAGGCTACTTCCATCTTTAACATGTTGTGCATTGCAAAAACAAAGTAAACTATGATTGATAGCATTTAAAAGACAGATAAAAACCAGAAACTACCAAGAACGGAGAAAACGCGCTTGTAGATATTCTGGAAATTAATTGGCAACAATGTATTTGCTTGATTTTGCTTTAACAATCTAAAACAAAACCATGGAACGGTATTTAAAAGATTCAGTCATTGCACATTGAAGCCAGTCTGCATTCGTTCTATGTGGGTCATTTCCAAAAGCTCACTTTGTTCCACTGTGTCGCTGTTTGTCTTTGCCTCTTTGCTTCTGTCCTCTCTAGGCCTCTTGGACTCGACCAGACACATACGAGGTATGGCTACCAAATATCGTAGCCTGATTCTAGATGTACTAGCCCAGACTTGCATCATAGACTACCACTTTTACCCCCACCACCTTTTTTTGTTTTTGTTTGCAGAGCAGAAGTGTTATCACTCAGCCCACATTTAATATGCACCATATTTAGTTTTGCGCTTAATGTGTAGACTAATAGCCACGTAGTACAGTTCATTTAATACATTTAGTTCCAGTATACATTTAGACTTGCTCCATTAGTTTATCACTGTTTATTTTTGTCAACAAATTTCCATGTGAGACGCAGGCATCTCGGTGTAGACCAAGTAGCTCCATTCTTTGTTTCCTGCTGCACAGTGTGGTGAATGCTCAGACTTTGCGTGAAAAAAAAGATAAATCCTGTATTGTTGATTGATCAGCAGCTGGACACCAAAAAAAACACACTGTCTGCTCTGCTGTGAGCAAACTAACTCTAACTCACCAAACTCTAGCAAATAACAGAATGGATTTTAATGGTGTAGCCTTCTGTCATGGGCCAGGGGCCTGCATGTTTTTGCTTCAACTGTGCACTGAAGTAGCTGCCTCATTCAGTCACCTTGGGGCCTCATTTATACTGTGGTCTCACTAGGTCAGCTCACCCAAATGGGAAAAAAAAAGTCTTCCTTGCCCCTGATCATATGTAGCCAAGTAGAGAGTTTTGATTTTGTTTCTCCAGGATTTGAGAGGTTTTTTTTCAACCTCTAATACAAAGAAGGTTGACAGAATTCTGTTTGCATTGTCCACTTTTAAGGCTCATGTTTAGGTAGAACTCTTAGAATGGCATTAACAAGCATTTTTACAGGGTAAGCTTAAGGATGCCAAGTGTGTTTGCATTTTTAAAAAATCCCAAAGCACTTGAGCTTCCTGTTCTGTTGTTTGGCACAAAGGAAAAACATGCAAACTCTTGGCCTGCTGCAAAAACAATTACTACCTTTGGATAGAACTGACACAGTACAATCAGCTCACTTCACTCACCACTGTGACAAGGAACCAAGCTAAGAATTAACTGTCATATTCAGCATCCATAACACACAGATTCAGAGTTTTGACAAGTTTGTCCTAACTGGCTTCAATAACGTGCTTCAATCAGTCATAGCACTCATTTCCTGCTGATGTAATGCTGCGAAGTTTTTTTCCACACGCCTGTTTAACATAGCCTTATCCCAGCATCTGACAATAATCATGTCACCTTGTTGGGCTGTTGACTGGGTTTTAAGTTGCGTTTTATGGATCTACTGCTGTGACCTATGCTTTTATGTTTTAGCGGGAGCACTTTCACATTTTTTCTTACCTCTCTGAGCCCAGTCTAATCCAAGGGTCACTACAGATTTTTCAGTACTTGACATCCTTGACTGTGCACTTCATTACAGAAGTTCAATTAAAGACTACTTCTTTGGTGTTTTTATTGTTGCTATTACTTTGTTCTAGTGATTTACTGATGCTTTTGCTTGCTTCCAGTATTTACATGTTGAATTTCATGTTGTACATACACTCAACAAAAATATAAACGCAACACCTTTGTTACTGCTCCCATTCCCCATGGGATGGACGTAGAGACCTAAAATTCATTCCAGATACACAATATAACCATCCCTCCCAAACAGTGGTCACAAATCAGTCCAAATGTGTGGTAGTGGGCACATCTGCTATATTGAGATAATCCATCCCACCTCACAGGTGTGCCACATCAGGATGCTGATCTGACATCATGAGTAGTGCACAGGTGTACCTCAGACTGCCCACAACAAAAGGCCACCCTGGAATGTGCAGTTTTGTCTCACAGCAAAATGCCACAGATGCCACAAGCAATGAGGGAGCGTGCAATTGGCATGCTGACAGCAGGAATGTCAACCAGATCTGTCGCCCGTGCATTGAATGTTCATTTCTCAACCATAAGCCGTCTCCACAGGCGTTTCAGAGAATATGGCAGCACATCCAACCGGCCTCACAACCGCAGACCTCGTGTAACCACACCAGCCCAGGACCTCCACATCCAGCAGGTTCACCTCCAAGATCGTCTGAGACCAGCCACCCAGACAGCTGCTGGAACAATTGGTTTGCACAACCAAACAATTTCTGCACAAACTGTCAGAAACCGTCTCAGGGACGCTCAACTGCATGCCCGTCGTCCTCATCGGGGTCTTGACCTGACTCCAGCTCGTCGCCGTAACAGACTTGTGTGGGCAAATGCTCACATTCGATGGCGTCTGGCACGTTGGAGAGGTGTGCGCTTCACGGATGAATCATGGTTCACATTGTTCAGGGCAGATGGCAGCTGAGAATGTCCCAGTTCTTGCATGGCCAGCATACTCACCGGACATGTCACCCATTGAGCATGTTCGGGATGTGCTTGACCGGCGTATACGACAGCGTGTACCAGTTCCCACGAATATCCAACAACCTCGCACAGCCATTGAAGTGGAGTGGACCAACATTCCACAGGCCACAATTGACAATCTGATAGACTCCATGCGACGATGTGTTGCACTGCATGAGGCAAATGGTGGTCACACCAGATACTGACCGGTTCTGGGTCCCCAGACCCCCAATAGCGCAAAAAACTGCACATTCCAGGGTGGCCTTTTGTTGTGGGCAGTCTGAGGTACACCTGTGCACTACTCATGATGTCAGATCAGCATCCTGATGTGGCACACCTGTGAGGTGGGATGGATTATCTCAATATAGCAGATGTGCCCACTACCACACATTTGGACTGATTTGTGACCACTGTTTGGGAGGGATGGTTATATTGTGTATCTGGAATGAATTTTAGGTCTCTACGTCCATCCCATGGGGAATGGGAGCAGTAACAAAGGTGTTGCGTTTATATTTTTGTTGAGTGTAAGATTTTTAAGCTTTACTGTTTTGTACTTGATCTATGAAAGATGCCTTAAGTTAAATTAAAGAGTTCAGTGTTATGTAGGAATACATGTGAGCAAAGAGGTAAGGCTAAAGACTGCATCTCAGTTGAAAGAAGCTTTTTTTTGGCTTTGTATGATGTCAATGAGAGCAGCTATTCCTTAGCACAGACCTATGCAAAGACCTATATGAAGAAAGCTATCCTAAAGGGAGGAGTAAGGGATCTACATTTGCCTGTTTTAGACTGAGGGGCTGCACCTAGGCCCAGGTACTTTGAACTGTGAATCATGCAGACTACTTCAATAAATTCCAAGAATAAAGCCATAGAGTTAGATGTGAACAAACGAGCCCATTAAATATTTTTCTTGTAGGCCCACACAGAAAGTCAGCTGTCAGCGAATGTACTTATTGCAGCACAGAATGGATCGAACAGATCTTCAGTAATAGCGTCGGCCTTGCTTTCATTGGACGTTAGGTGAACCGAGCTGACAGGTGTTAATCAGCAACCCTAAAAAGCAGTCATTAAACAATTAGTCATAGAAGACAATCGAACATGAAAGGTGAAATTATGCTAAGGACAACAGCAAAACCCTTTCACTTTATCTTTATTTCATTAAGAAGTGCACTTTGGAAGACAGTTTGACACTTAAACCAGATAAAAGTCTGATTATTATAACCTGCCTACTGACTGATTTTCAACTCATAAGAAGATCATATGACCATGTTGTTGACTGCTTGTTTTTCTTTTAGCAACTCGATGCATGTTAAGTAAAGACAATTATAGATAAAGGAAATGTTTTAATAGAACTCTATTTACCATTTGCCTTTTGTTAACCGATGCCTTAAATTAACCGTTGTCTTAAAATTGTAACCTTTTTCCCGCCTCAACACTTTGGAGGGCTTGAGAATGCCAAGTAGAGAAATTGCACTTAGTTTTCTTGGTATACTTCTCCTTGATGAAAGATTTGACAGTGGAGAAATTAAAAGAATTAAGGACAGAAATAGATGGGGAATGATAAGCAAGCAACACAAGTCCCAGGCTGGATTAAAAAAAATGAATAGCCTACACCTTTGTATATTCATGTTCTGTTCCTTTAACCCCTGGGCCATCAGGGTGCTCCATAAATCAACATTCTAGAAATTAAAGTTGACAAGGACCACTCCCAGTAGTTTCAAAGTTAAATTTTTGGAGGAGGCACAGGTTTGTCCTGTCCTTCAGGTGTTCTCCACAAATATATATCTTCATGTGCCACGTTGTGTTAAAGGATCCTGATACCAAATTGGGAGACAGTTAATCATGAGCTGAATTCTTGATGTAGTAGAGTCCATTTTTTTAAACCGTTGGCTCAGCTCGCCGACATCTGCTTTGTTAAAAAGTTCTATTTTTAGCTGCCTAAACTGCCTCATTTTTTTCAGAGGAGGAGGTGGTTATAAAATTTCAGCATGTTATTAATACAGCGCTAACATCGTTTTATTGAGCTAGTGTTTTGGGAAGATAAAGCATAAATGTCTCTCACACCGTGATTGCTGAGAATAGCAGATCTACATCTAATGAATACACAGACAGAGCCTGTGCATGTTATGCCTGACAGTCTCCCTCTTCATGTAACACTTGCTGGACAGAATGTACGACAAGCAAAACACATGTACAAAGATTTGCTCTGCAGATCAAATCAGCAGTGACTGCAAAATACAAGACACTGAAAAAATCCTGTCCATACATCGCCTTACAAGTCTACCACCATAATTCATTTTTGTAATTAAAATGATTTGGTTAATGAATGAATCCTGTTCAAAGGTCTCCCCTCTCCCTGCTACCTGTGCTGTATCATTAAAGCATTATTCTCTATTAACCTTTTTTCCTGTTTATATTCCAGCAGTGTACCCAGTACAGCTCTTTCCTGTGTTACTGCAGTAAGACAAGATTAATGCTGCCCTTTCAAAATGTTCCAGGACACTCCCTCAGATCTTCCGTAAACAGCAGAAATATTTCTGCCACATCTGCGTCACCCTGCTCTGCAAAGAAAAGCTGTTTTTGGCGTAATACTTACACAACAAATATGACTCGGTTATATACTACATCTATATTCTAGTTTACCGGCCAGAGCTTTGCACGCCGAAGCTCTAGCTAGAATGCCTAAAATAAAAAGCAAATACTATGGCACCTAGAACGAAGATGTATATCTCCTTTTTGTGTCGCCTGTGTCCCCCAAAGGGAAGATAAACTGTTACAGGGTTTTTTTAACAGCCATGGGTTTTATAGGCTTGCAGTTTTATTAATCATTTCATAGGGCTTCTTTTTATTACCGATGTTGTTTTTTTCACCTACTGACTTTCACCATGCGATTTCAAAACAAATATACTTTTTGTCTTCGCAAAAACGGTGCAGAACTTGAAGCCCCCCCTCTGCTTTGGGCTTGTATTTGCATCAGGTTACATGCACAACAGAGAGAAGCTAGGATCCACTGCATTTGTTAAAAAAAACAAGTGAGGTCTTTGGGCCACTTTTGATGTCAGCTGCACAGCTGTTAAGAGATCACTCTAAGTAAGGCATAACACATGCTTGGAATAGCAGTATTAGCTCAGTAGGCAGGCTAATAAATGTGATCTCTTAATACAAATACAAACCAGATTTAACAAGCTGTTTGTTAAAAGTGCAGTTATACTGTTCCAAGTGCAATTAGACTGCCTGTAACCCTGCAACCAGACTGCTAAATGGTAAGGACAGCAATCGAGTTTGCAGGTTATTAGCCAGGGCTCTGACGCTGGTTTAATAGTTATCCCAGCAATAGTTTTTCAGAGGCCAGGATGTCCAGTCTGTTGCTGTTTATATATATATATGAGAAAAGAATAAATTTTAGCAGCATATTTGTAAGATTTTTATAACTAACGTTATTTTTTTTAGGATTTAAAGGAAGGATTTGTTTGCTCCTGTGGCACTCGCTTCACACAAACAAAAAAAACATAGAATAAATTTAGCCTTATCAGCTCATCCAAGGAATACTAAATTCTCTCTCAGAAGAGTTCATTGCAGTTGTAGCTTTTATGTTGTCTCCATCCTGCTGTTCTTGTGGTATTTCTGCACTGCAGTTCACATGGCTCACCTGTCAGTCAGTCGTCACATTTTTTTTCTTTTTTTTAACTCTTGCTTTCTCAGTTTATAGTTCCCACTTTATCTTCTACTCATTTGTCCCATTTGCGCTAGCAAAACAACAAATACAGACTGACCCTTTAGCCCTGTTTTATATAAAACTACCTGTTTATAAGTGAGAATAATTTCTTTCTCTTCTTCTTTATAGAGCCTTGATAGAAATGTGGTGGTGCGCAGTCATGCACGGGTGTCCTCTCTCACCTTGAAAAATGTCCAGTTCACATATGCTGGACAGTACCTCTGCACCGCCAGCAACTCCATCGGCCAGGACGCCCGGCACATGTACCTGGAAGTCCGCTGTAAGTCACAAAACTCTGCCTGGCCGCACGCTCCAGTGGTTTATCTTTGCTGTCAACACAGATAACCATAAGTTTGCACTGTTATATGTACAAATATGAAACTGATAAGAGCTGCTGTTGCTGCTGACATCTGCTTAATAAAATGTCATCGTTTTAACGTTTCATTTTAGTCTGTTGGAAACGGGGTAGGAGTAGTGTCTAAAAGAATTCTTTTATGGAAACTCTGTTGCTACATTTATCTTTTATAAGTTGTTGCATCAGCCAAAAAACAGTCTTCAAAGAGCATGTTAAAAGTGTTAGTTACTATTGTTAAATTACGAAAATCTGTTAACCGTGATACAATATACTGATTTATCAGGCAGTGAAGGTCAGTTTGTTCCTGCAGTAATTCATTTCTTTCCATATATGGAGCCCAGATGTTTTTTTCGACTTCTATCTGTGCTCAGGCACTGGATCTTTTTTTTTCTCTGTCTCCAAAAATGGTTTCTGACAGCACCTAGAGAACTTTCTCGGGTTTTGTTCTTTAGCTGATGGTTTTAGCTGTAGGCAAGGAAATCTATAGCACTAGCAATTTAACAGTAAGAGCAAGAGAGCATGTCTCTCCAGTCAAGAATAACTTGATACTCATGACATCGATTTAAACCACTGCTGCCTTGTGGCTGCCTTGCATGTGGAAATCTTTTTCTCATCTCACACAGATATATATCCTCATATGCATGTTTAATGCTTATTCAAAAAGGTGTCTCTAGATGGAAGGTCTCAGTGTGACACCAAAACCTTGAGCTGGTTTCACAAAGAGAGGATAGAAAAGCATTTAGACATTAAAGAGGCAATGTGTGTTGTCAGGTGTAGCAAACATTAGATAAACTGTGCTTGGTTTGTCTACCATTACTTCATTATTATTTAGTTTATACCAAGCTGTTGACAGTATCAATTTTCAATTCAATTCAGTTTTATTTATACAGCGGCAAATCACAACACCAGTCGCCTCAAGGCACTTTATTTTGTAAGGTAGACCCTATAATAATACATACAGAGAAAAACCCAACAATCATATGACCCCCTATGAGCAAGCACTTTGGCGACAGTGGGAAGGAAAAACTCCCTTTTGCAGGAAGGAACCTCCAACAGAACCAGGCTCAGGGAGGGGCGGGGCCATCTGCTGCGACCATTTGGGGTGAGAGAAGGAAGACAGGATAAAGACATGCTGTGGAAGAGAGACAGAGATTAATAACAAGTATGATTCAATGCGGAGACGTCTGTTAGCACATAGTGAGTGAGAAAGGTGACCAATGTTATCGCAGATAGTAACAAGATCAGTTAAAGTCCTTAAGGGTGAGGGTATCATCTTCAAGCCCATTCTCAAATTAGCTGATGCATTAAAAATGACTTAACAGCACAAAAGAAACAAAAGCAAACTTCCATATGTCTAAATTTAAAATAACATTCTTATAACATTGTGTCGTAAGTGTTTTTAAATGTACTACAGCAGTTACAGGTAATTAAGAACAACTCTTCAGGAAATCAGGTATCAACCCTGCTTTTGGATCCTAGTTCTTACTGATGTCTTTTTAATATCTATCTTCTTTTATTTGATATGAAGAAGCCTCTAAAAACAATCTATGGTCATTGTCAGCCTCTCTGGCTTTCCATTAGCACTACTCATGTGCAGTGTCCCTTTAAGCTCAGTTTTTAAAACCTTACAATGTAGCTACAGCCCATTGGCTCACAGTTTGCCACACATGAAGAATCAATCAGAGGCGAACTAAGATTTCAGTTCAGAATCATCCAGAGCGCACAGCAGCATATCAATGACTAACCTCGTGTTGTGGATGGATCATCTCAGATGTTCTCTTGACTGAAGTTTGGTCATTTTTCAGCATCTTCCTTCTGTCATATGGTTGCATTTGTCTCAGCCCATCAGGGACAGTCACATTACCTTTGATGGAGAGTTAACATTCATCATCCATCTTTGCATGGTACCAGTCAAAAGGTCCACTCAGGGGCACACAGCACATTTTAAACTTCCCTTTATTTTTGAACAACAGTATTTGAATATACTCCATAGTGTAGCTGACGTTGTTTCACGTAGGACTAAAAATAAGTTAGATAAAACTGTTTCTGGATCTTAATCGTGGGCATTTTTCACATCTGTCTTTGCAGGACTGGACATGTTCTTTGAAGCTTGCAAGAAATGCTGTAAAGCCTAAATTGTACTTTCTGCAGCTGGTCAACCGTGAGAGTCTGTGACACTCCAAGTAAGGGTCAACAGTGCGAGACTGTTGGCCCCTTTGATCTTTAGGGCGGTGTACCAAGAGAATTACAATTTCAACCAGTTTGATTTTTTTATATAGACACTACAAAGCTCCAGTGTGCTACAGCAGCGGTCTCCAACCTTTTTTGCGCCACGGACCAGTTTATGCCCGACAATATTTTCACGGACCGGCCTTTAAGGTGTCGCGGATAAATACAACAAAATAAAACTAGTACCGGTACCGAAAAAAAGAAGATTTATTCATAACACACGTGAAAAGACCCAGGAAAACACGAGTTAACGATAAAAACGATAACAAAATAACGCTGAAAACCGATAAAAACCCTGAAAACCATACATTTCACACTGAGCCTCAACTCTCGCGGCCCGGTACCAAACGACTCACGGACCGGTACCTGTCCGAGGCCCGGGGATTGGGGACCGCTGTGCTACAGCACCAAGAAAAAACAAAATGACCCTAATAGTACAGTGTATGTACCCTGGTGATGGTTTAATGCTCCATCAGCACCAAACTATAAACTAGTGCTTTGATGTGTATAAAATTATACTTGATCTCATTTTGACGCCTATCAAATGTTACTTAATTAACAAAAAAAAAGATAGAGAGAGAGAGAGAGAGAGAGAGAGAGAGAGAGAGAGAGGGAAATAAGGCCAATGGATGCTTAATTGGATTAATATGCCCCTGTGCTCAGTGCGCTTGTAATTTGCTTAGAGATATAATCACAATTCAGCATTGATAGAGATGTTTAAGGGCTTGCTAGAGTAATCATCAAATTATCAGGTAGCTGATTTACTGTTGCCAAGCAATTATCGATAAGAAAAGGTGCTTTGTCGTGGGCACAGCTCTCACTCACTGTCCCCTCTATCACCGCTCACCCACTCACACAATGGAGACGTTATCGAAGCATGGAAGTTCCTATCTGCCTCACAGCATGATCCCATTAGCTAGGCTGAGCATGTCTAGGTTTGTTCCTGAAGGACTGATAGGAAAGTGTTAATGTCCTTTCTGTTTGACTTCCATTTTGTCAGAGGTTGAAGTTTGTTTAACATGAATGTCTAATGAAAACACTGTTTGAGCTCCAAGCAGGTCACCTGTTACATACTCTTTCTGATTCTCCTAGTCCTGCTGGATGGAGAATTAGAAATTGTAACTCTAGATTTTGCTTTTTATTACAGACTTATGCATGGCTTTTTCCCCCTGCGGTTGTTAACAGCTGAATATCAGCAAGCATGATGATATTTTAGTATTGAGGCTGCACAGAGCCATTGTTAGGTGCTTGTAGTTCTATTGAAGAATAACCCCTGCAATGGCCAATTATTCATTCAAGTTAGGATGTCCTGATAGCCAAAGACAAGCTAATTCACCTACTTGGTGTATGGGCATAAGACAGCATTTCTTTCTGCGATACTGATATTGATTACATATTGTATGAAACTGACAGATCAATGAGAGAAAGAAAAACGAATTCATACTACAGATTAATTCCCCAAAGAAGCTGAACAGGAAACACTTTGAATGTAAAACAGTTCAGGGTTTTTTGGTTGGGAGTTTTATGGAGTATTATTTCAGTGTTCCACTAAAAAAGACTAAATTCCTTCTAATAGTAATGCAGTCTTTGTATTATGTGTAGTAAGTATCGCTGTTGCTGCCACTTTTGTATGAATGTACTAGTCATGCAAATGTGACGCTGTCATCATTTTTGTATAACTATTGCATTTGTATGCACTTTGCACAGTGCCCATAATGATATCATATAACAATCTATTTAATATACATGAGCTCTATGCAGCCTACTTGATATGTATGAACCCTATGTGGCAGATGCATTCCTCCTATGTTCACCTATACCAGGCTAGCAGCCTGCAGAAATCAAACAGGCAGGTCGCAGGCCCTATAGAGTCAATGAGACCAAAAGCAGCACTGACAGAAAGAGTGAGAATCTAATCAGAGCTGCAGGAGATGGAACATCTATTGACTCAGCCTTGTCCATCAATCCCAGCCGCAGCATGCTGCAGACTTTTAAAGGATCTAGGGTCAGAAGTAAAGCCCTGGCAGTGTCAGGGGCCACTGCATTTTACGGCGCTCGTGAAGCAAAGCATACTTCACTGAATTTAAAATCAATGCTCAGTGATTTGAGCAGGAGATTTTAAAAGGAAACAATGAAGGGAAGAATTAATTAACTTTACCGTTACCTTTACTCTTGTCTGTTTTCCTGTCAAAAATTGGGGTGCAGTGTAACAGGTTTGGCTATATGGTATCAACTCATTTCATGTAGGAAGTGAAAATAGCTTGGTCAAACTGTTGCTTGGTTTCAGTCGTTTATTTGATTTTTGCTGCATAATCCATAAGTATGCTACAGGCACATATAAGATTAAAGAAATCAAAGAAAAATAATCTGGTCATCAAACCCCGAGCAGTGCTATTTCTTTAAACTAAGTGGTTGTGCTAATTTATAATTATTAGTTATAATGTTTTTTTTATTTGTAACACATTCATAAACTCTCTGAAGCATTTTCATGTCTTATAAAACCAGCACAAGTTGGCTGTAAAACATAAATGCATACCATAAAAGGCATTAAATTTATAGATCACAAGTAAAGCATTAGAATTCATTTAGCATCTGTTTACCATTCTGTAAAACTGTAGCTTTTGTCACCATTGCCATGAGTGCTTTCTTTCCCGTAGTGAGTGTGTTTTACATGTCTTTTTTCCGCTGCCATGAATTCTAAATAGAGTATTTTTACTGGTAGCCTTGATTAAAGCTGCTAGAAATGTGGAGAAGAGCTTCAAGGATGAAAGGAAATACTGCCATTCGTGACAAGATATAATGGCCATATCCAACTGACTGATACCGTTCTGTCCTTTAGACTTTTCAACAGAGCTTGGAGTTTTTATTATACCGCACATACTTAAAAATCAGTGCTGCTTTTTACAAGCAGATTCCTGTTGGATTCAATTTAGACTGTTGTAAAAGTGAACGTTTTACTCACATACAGCTGATTATATGCAGTATTTACATCTTGGCTGTTTCATCTTGCAGATATTTTGGGTCATTATTGTGCTGTTTGATGAATCCTACATCACCCAGCATGTCTTCTTTTGTTACGTCTGTTTTTCTCCCCATTGAGTATCCAGTACTACTTTCTGCACTACCTAATAATGCATCACATGTGTAGTAAAGGAGTTTGTTCCACGGGTTTGTCAGTAATCTGCATAAATTTGGCCAACCATAAGAGTTGTTTTCTTTAACTTGTCAGATTCAGTTTATTTCCACTGAGTAATTTCAGTAAACCTTTGACAATCTGCTTATCTGTTTCAAGCATCCTCACTCCCCTGTCTATTCCTTCAGATACTCCAAAGATCCTGGGTTCGGTGACAGTATATACATGGGAGGGAAACCCGGCCAACATCAGTTGTGAGGTGGAGGCTCATCCCGGAGCCTCGGTGGTTTGGTTCAGAGACGGCTTCCAGCTGCCCACTGCCAACAGCACTAATATGAAGATCTATAACACACCATCCGTCAGCTACCTTGAGGTGTGCTGCATCTGTCTTCTTAATGCTGATTTCTACTGACATAAAGAGGCACAAAACACACAAACATGCTCTGTATATTTGACATAGTTTGGCAGATTACTTAGAACGCAGCTCCGTTTTTTTTATTGGTTTTGAGAAGTATCCAAAAACGCACACACAAAAAAAACAGAGTCGTAGCTCACAAAAGGCTTCTGTTTGTTACACAAGAATGAATTGTGGCTAATATAAGCCACTGTTTCAGTGAGATTAAAGTGTAACGTGAAAGATTGCATTAAAAGCTAACAAGTAGTTCCAGACCAACTTTAAATGGACTATAATTATAGGCCTAGTGTTGAGCACACTCAACTGCTAGACACTGTGTTAATGAACCAATGGGTAATGATTAAAATCAAGAAATCTGTGCATCTGCATACCAACCAGGCTCCAGATCTAACACAAATGCTAAATAGCAGAAAAGCATTAAGTGAGACTACACCCTAATGATCTACACTGTGTTTAAGTTCGTCATGCATATAGTCGGAGTCTTTTTTTCTTTCTTTTTTTTGTGTTCACATCCAAAAACTTGAGACATAACCTGATATTTCTCGGTGTTTTTGTCTCTTTTTGTCTTTCAGATTACCCCTGATTCTCAAAACGACTTTGGCAGTTACAACTGCACAGCGACCAATGTGATGGGTTCTGAATCCAAGGAATTCCTTCTTATCCAAGCAGGTTTGTTAACCAGAAATTACTCCCATTTATGTGAAATTTTTAGTGTCTTGGGGAAACAAAAGAAACACTCTAAATAATGAAATGACGAGACTTCACGTTTCCAGGCTGGCCAGTGTCTTTTATGCAGAAGTGAAATAACAACTTCACAAACCACTGCCATGGACTGAATTTTAGAGTCATATTCCCAATATGGATCTAACCACCTAAAAACAAATGCTTTGACAACTCACCAGTAAAACCAAGAGAAAGGTCAATCAGTTTATCAGTAAAATGTAAAAGTAATTTCTGAATGCAATCAGAAGCTATTTTAGGAAGCAAAGGTATAAAAAAATCTCCATCAGAAGTTCTAGCAGAGCAGGAACAAATGGAACCACTGCTGTATGCAAGACAAGTGGTAATGAATGAGAAGTATGAATGAAAGATTTAGAATTTATGATGAACTAATTTATCTGCTTTGTCTGTATTTAGAGCAACAGTGCGCAGATCTGAAGCATCTACTTGTGAAAGTGTAGTCAGGATGGTGTGAATTGACTTCAGATGATTAAAAGACTTCTAGCAAAGATATGCGTGTATTGCCTGGATACAAATGAAAAGTGGCATTGTGTTTGTGTATGAGGAAGCACAAAGGCATCCTGCAGTATAAATAGGGAAGAAAAACAAACCAGGACTTGGAGACACTCAGAGCACAGACTAGACAGGCAATGGAAGAAAATTGAAATCACAGCGGAACTGCCCTTTAAGTCTTATTTTCTCGCGTTAGCTTCATTTGGTATGCAAATTGCTTTGGACCCATTAGAAGTAGAAGGTCGCTCAGGACCTTGTCTAAATGCAGGGTGGTCAAATTAATTATGGTAACACCCTGTGCTGACATTGTGTAATATCCTGTAGGCTTTTTGAGGTATTTTTTGTAATTTGCTGCATAACTCGTCTGTATGCCTAAAGTGACTGCTTCCAAACAGAGTTATCCTAAAAAGAACCCTGTAAATAAGTCTCCACACCTTTTCTCTGCAATTATGTCCGTGAGAACATTTTTGCATGTAATGTGAGGCAAAGAGCTCGACCAAACGAAGCTATTTGAGCCACGGTACTCAGTCCAGAAAAGGCATCATTAAAGAAATCATTGGGTAAGCAGATCCAGGACGCGTGCAGACATATGCAGATGAGCTTATAATTAGTTTAATCCCTCTTGACAGTGACATAGTCATCCCAGTTTGCTTTTTTTTAATTATCAGCAGATTGATATCAAAGAAGATTAACGTGCTTCAGCCTCGCTAGTGAACCTGTTTCATTGCAATGTTCATTACACCAAACAAATGAATTAATAATAACGGGGAATAATTGTTTAAACACATATCTTAATCATGATTTTAGTATGTGGCGGCGGTGGTATTGCTGGTAAAAAAGGTATTACAATGTCAGCAAAGTCAAAAGACTTCATCCCCCTGGAGCCATGTGGGTTTATTTCCAGTAAGGCGATACTCTGTGCATTGACCTGATCATTTTTCTGTATCTAGATGTTTTACCTTGACATGAACATGCAACAAAAAGGCTAGAATAAAAGAAACTGTCACTTTTTAACCAGTGATTTACATGGGACACAAATAATAGACCAGTGTACCACAGAACTAATATACTGATTAGCATCGTAAAGGCTTCCCACTGAAAGATTAAAAACAGAATGACATCGTCCACAGAGGAAAGTTTCATTTTGTTATTAAATCAATCCCAGGGATGAGCTGAAGTTGTACTGTCCCTGCAAACTTTCAGTACCGGGCACACAGTTAGCACGGCTGCAACTTGGTGTCATAATTGTTAATTAATGGATGTGAAGCATTTTCTCTTAAGTTTGATAACAAAGCCTCGCAAATGAAAACAGTTAATGCTGATGATGTCAGTGAGGACCTTTGTCATAGTACTCACAGAGGTGGGTGTGATTGTTATCTCAAGTGAGGACTGAAATTGCACTGTGGTAAATACCATCCTATGTTTAGCCACAACGTGAGCACTTTTCCAGCATGGTAACATTTTTGTAGTAAGCTGAAATGAGTTTCATGAAAAGAGGGAGAGAGAGAGGATAGAGATGCAAATACAGCCAGAAATATAAAACCGCTATGATAAGAGCTGCTGCTGCTGCTAGATTTCAAATTAGTCGATTGAAGAAGAGTTTATGAAGCTCTGAAACCTATTTTAAATTAATCAAACCGATTCCTAAAATTAAATATTAGTCCTTTTTTTGTTGTTTTTCTTTTTCCCCACACTGCAGCAGAGCAAAGAACATAGTGTGCACAATGGAAGCTAAAAGCAGTTTATGAAAAGCTGTAATTTTTTTTTGCTTTTTAAAAAGCTTTGGAAAACTGAAAAAAGTATTAACACATTATTTTCCCTGCTTGCCGTTGCAGAGGTGCCGTCATCACCTGTAATTCAACAAGTGGAGCCTTTCTCAAGCACAGCAGTGGTAAAGTTTGAGGAGCCTGATTCAATGGGTGGAGTGCCAATTATCAAGTATAGAGTGGAATGGCGTTTGCCTGGCCAGGACTGGACTGGCAAGGAGGAAGATGTTGAGGATGGTGAGTCGGTCATAACGCAAACTAAATTTGCTGGATTATCCCTCCTTGTGTATAACAAGCACATGTAGAAGTGGTAGCCTTTACAAAAAATGCCATTATGGAAGTTTAGGGCTCGTATAGCCTCATTTAGCCATTAGCAGGAGATTGAAAATGACTGCTGGGACAAAGATTTCTCTGTATGATTTAGGTTTGCTATGATTCCTGAGTAGTCATCTCTTCCGTACATTTCCCCTTAGAGCCCTGAAAAACATACTTTCAGTGAAGCGCAGTGGATGGAAGGGTTGTTATTTACCACTTTCCGTGTCGGCATCAGCTGCATCATCCACACCTTAGTACCACTTAGGCCACTTTAATTCTTAGCATCCAACTGATGCATCATACTTTAAAAGGCATCCTGAAGGGGAGGACTCTAGAGTCCATCTTTGTCAGCAAATCTATGGAATTATTCATTTCTGCCGTTAGGTAAAAAAGGCTCAAGGCTTGAGATTTTCTTGTTAATCATAATATTTAAACATTAAATTCCAGGGTAATCCACTGTAAAGTTTGCGGTGCAAAGAGAAACGCAGCACAGCGTTTCAGCTCCGCGACTGTTATGTGTTTATGTCTAGTTCCTACATGCCGAAAACAGTTCTGCGACAACATTTAATCCAAACATGACAGTAGCTGATGTCAAGAAGAGATGTGGAACACAGTATAGCCTAAATGACAGTCAGCTCCGACACTGACAGGCCCTAGATAATATCCCCGTCCCGCTGAGGGTTTGTGGCTCCTGCAAATCTGGATGGTTTTCGTCCTGTCTGCCACATGGGATGTATCAGTCAGTGGCTGACAGGCTGTGCTGTCAGCTCAAGGCCCATGAGCCGCCTGACATGTGAGCGTGTACACAAAACGAAATGCATGGACCCACACGCAAACAGTCAGTGTTGTCAGAAATATTTCATACAGCTAGTTAAACCACTCTGTGTCTAATAAATCTGAGCGATTTTGAAACACACATGCTGTGAAAGGACCTTGCAAAACACATCGTATTTCCTAAGATACTTGTAATATCATTTTTTAAAGGTCTAGCTACTGAAGCTACAATATGCCATGAAGGGAGGCAGTATATTGTTACTGATACTGAATTATCAAGTGGCTGAACTGTGTCAATAAAAAGGCTTTTGTGTCTGTCACAGTACTGTGACCCAGAGCTGCCATCACATGTTTAAAAGCAGTACTGCCAGATATAGATACCACACCCATATCACTGTGGGTCCATGCTATATAGGTACTGATGCTGCTGTGTGCACACACATAAAACAGCCTTACTTCTGCACTGTGTAAATATTTCTGCATGTACTAACAGATTATATGTAGCTTCATGCATTGTGTATCCATATAGTCTGTAGTAATTTCTGTGTAAATATAAAATACTCACATTTGCTTTCCCATAATGCATAAAGTATACAGTGCAGAGTAGATCTTAATGGTAATCTACCTCAGTGCTTGACTGGTATTTCTCACTGATGTGTTTTTGATGGCAGTGGTTTTGGGGCCATGGAGCATTCAGTTCTATACATGAAAATACTCTTTTTCTTTTAGTGTTTTTGTCTTTAGTTTGGGATTTATTGAAGATATACGAGCTCGCACTATTGATAGGCTGATGTTACTGTGAATTCAAATAAGCATTAATTTAAAACACATCATTTTAGGACCTATTTCTAAAATCAGTGAGCATATCAAGTAATATTTCACATTATTTACCTACCTTTTGACTGAAAATTATTAATACTAATCGGTACCTGGATATTATACATTTTTATAATTAAATCTAATCACAAATCCTTAATACTAATAATCATTTTCTCAGATACCCAGTATCTGGATGTCCTTTTATATGTTTTTAACCAAATATTGAATTTTAGTCCTTACTGTTTATGGAAATAACAGTAAATTTTTCACATTGTACACATAATTACAATATTAGTCCTGCAGTAATGTCGAAAGACACTGACTAAGATGCACCGAATTTAATAACGTTTTATTTGTGGAGAAAACCTTTTACATAAGCAGAGGCAACCAACATGCCCCCCCCCCACAGGTATATTACTTTGAGCTGGCTGTAAAAATTTAATCTGACCATTAATGGACTCAGCAAAGACATCAGTTTTATGCTGCTGCTAAAAGCCCAGTTCTCAATTCATCTGCTCTAATGCTTGAAAGCTGTATTCATGCAGTTTCCCCGAGCAGCCTTATGCTCAGCTCTTTCTGCAAGTCCGTCTCACTGATACATAAATTTGAGACATAAATGGTCACAGTAATGGAGAGATGTTTCTCAGTTGGTTTTCACAGCCTAAATTTGTTCTCATCCATGAAATTACTATTCTTTGTATAGCACACTGAGAGATCAGCCAACTCAGTTTTATAACAAATGTCAAGACCGTGAATGTGTATCGTGACTGAAATCTCAACTGTTCCTTGGAAGGAACAACGTGACTGTCAAAAGCAAAGCATTTTAAACTTAAAAAAATCTTAAAACTGAGTTTTAGAAAGTAATAATTTTATAAGATGTATTACACTTCAATGTAGATTATTGAATATAGATTGTTGTTGTTGTTGGGAGATTATTGGTTATATCAATGGAATTTATCCTGAAAAATGGCATTTAAAGATCACTGCAATGGCCTTTAAAAAAAA